AGAGAACAGAAGTAGAAGTCAGGTACCTCCTCTATATACTTCTCCACCTTATTTATTGTTTGTTTGATTATGTTTGTTTGTTTTTGAGAGAGAGTCTCACTGAACCTGGCAACTGCCAATTAGCAAGACAGACTGGTCAGCCAACTCTGGGATCCACTTGTTCCTGTCCCCCAAGTGTTAGGGTTACAGATATGTCCTGCCACCACTAGCTTACACAGGTTCTGTGTAAGGCTCTGAACCACAGTTTCAGGTGTGTACAGCAGGCACTTTGCCAAGTGAACCATTTCCCTAATTCCTACGAAGTTTTTTTCATGCCTCCTTCTTTCAGAGAACATCGCCTAAATTTATCATGATTACACTAACACAACTGTTACTGCCCATTTTCTGCTCATTGCTTGGGACTTAAATCTAATTCCTTTCCTCTCTTAATAAAGTATACTAACAGTTCTTGAAGTCTAAGTTAATGTGTTATAGATAAAACACATACTTCCATATCACCTATATTCTGAAACTCTGATATATATATATATATGTGTGTGTGTGTGTGTGTGTGTGTGTGTGTGTGTGTGTGTGTGTATTGTGTTGTGTGTATATTTCTTTTAAATTTTAATCCCAACACTCAGAAAGCAGAGGCAGGTGGATCTCTCTGAGTTCCAGGCCAACCTGGTCTACATAGAGGGTTCTAGAACAGCCAGAGCTTTGTAGAGAATACCTATCTCAAAAAACAAACAAACAATAACAACAAAAATTTAAGTGATTGGGGTGTGGTGATGGATGCTTTTAATCCCAGTACCCAGGAGGCAGAGGCTAGCAGATCTTTAAGGTCAATCAGGGCCATGCAGTGGGATCTTGTCTCAAAACAAAACAAAATAGGGCTAGAGCAATGATTAAGGGGTTAAATCCCAGGCTACTCTTCCAGAGGACGTGAGTTGGATTCCCAGCACTCACATGATACCTCATAACTGTCTGTAACTTCAGTTTATTGAGATCTGACACACTCTTTTGGACTCTGAACAAGCCATGCACATGTTACACATACATACATGCAGCCAAAACACCCAACAAATAAAATTATTTTTAAAGATTAAAAATATATATTGTAACATTATATGTACTGAGCAGGTTGTATCTATAAGTTTAGAGATACACACATGCATGCAAGCACACACACAAAGCAAGGCCATAAATTTGAGAGACAGCAAGAGGAGATACATGGGAGGGACTAGATGGTAAAAAGGGAAGGTGAAATGATGTGCTTGCATCATAATAATGTCAAAAAAAAGTTAGAATTAAAAAGGTTAAGTGAAAATTGATCATCCACAGAGTGATATCACCAAATCACTGGTGACATGTCAACCCCATTGCTAACGAACATCTTGTGAGATTACTGTCATCATGGAACAAATGCCTACTGCTGCCTCACTGTTGATGTTGCAGACTCAGCCCACAGCAAAATGATAAAGACTCTGATTCCTGCACTGAAAATCAACATGAAATAGTCACAACAACACACACATTCAGACTCTTGACCAAGTAATTGTCTACCTGAGTAGACAATTTAAGAAAGTAATTCAAAAGAAAGGGAGGCCAAGGCAAGCTAAACACATGATATATATATATATATATATATATATATATATATATATATGTCAAAAAGTTAAAAGCTATCAGCATGAATGTGTTTATTTTGGCATTATCTGTAAATAACATGCCATATTGGTACCAATGCCATTATCCATAGGTTCAGCTGTACAGTCTGGCAACTCAATCAATATAGACTCTTACATACTTTGTGAGTGGAGAAATCATTATTAAATCTATCTTACCAATACCACATAATGGCTTAACAGTGCAGTTTATTAACAGGGTGTCAATTTAATAATGAAAACTTAACTCCAGAAAACAATGGAATTCAATACTAAAAATTAGTGCTCAATCAGCATAAGTAAATGTGTATGTTTTCTTAAAAATTTTAGGAACGTTGTTTCACGACAGATTTTATAATGAATAAAAATGGAAACCCAGGCCCAGTGGGACATGCTTGTAATCCTAGCAGTTGGGGGTGGAGGAGGGAGGACTTCAAGTTCAAGGTCATTATCAACTACATAGTGAGATAAAGATGGGCCTGAGCTACATGAGAGTCAACCAAACAAACAAAGACCCAAAAAATGAATGAAAGTAAATAATGGGGAAAAGCCTGTTCTCTGAGTCTGATAGAAGCTTAAAAGTTTAAACTTTCAAATTCTACCAAAAAAAAATTAAAATATTTTCAAAATCAGACAGATTTCTAAAACTGAAAATTACATAGTTCTGAGATTTGACAGTTAATTTGGACAGGTGTATAAAACTGTCAGCTAAAATGGGATGTAATAATTAATAAGCACAGAGAAAGAAGTGTAAATGAATAGCCATATGCAGACAGCTTGTTCTCAAAGCAGGATGGAAACTCCACTTAGTAGGATGCTTTTCAGAAGCCGTAAGTGATGGCTCAGGAGGAGGCCTTCATGACTGTCCTTCTGGCCCTGCTAACTGTTTCCTAGCCTGTTGAGTGGCATTTGATATTAACTGTGAGAACCCACGGAGCACCCACTATCTCTTCAGCTTTGTGGCAAACACTTTTAACAAATTAAACACATGTATTATTTAAATTTAAAAGGATTTTGAGGGTGATAGAGATAGTAGGGCAAAGTCAACATGAAGCCCAATTAACTATGTCTTAGAGGAGGGAAGAGCAGCATTACAGCCAGTGCTCTGGTCCCTTCTCAGAGACACCACTAGGGTCCACTACCAAGGCTATGGTACAGCCTGGGTACCGAAATCATATCTCCTCTTTGCAGTAGCCTTTCTTCTCATTCTTATCTTAGGAGCGTTCCTTGTGATTGAATTAAGAAAAAAAATGCTCAAAAAAAAAAACATAAAAATTTTTAACTGTCAGTTTCTCTACATTTAAAGCATATGGTGTCCAAGGTTGATTCATTTTCTTTGTCTTGTAATTAACTGCACAAATGCCTTGAGAAACTTCAGGCATCCCTAGACAATCTGGAAACAGCAAGAACTCTCTCCCTAAACATAGGCTGACAAATTATTCCTCTAATAACGCATTGTCTTCTGACATTAATGTTGAAATGCCAAGGCACTCTGACAGATAACTATTTGAATATTTGTATTCAACGCTTGTATTAAATAGCATGAAATATCAGTTTTGGAACCAACTGTTAAACAGAAGGGCACGGGTGTAGGGAGGTAGAGATTGTGTAATGGAAGGGCCTGTAACAACTCTGGCCTCCGTCCTGATATTGGCATATTAAGGCTACCAATAGAGTTCCCAGCACAACAGCAATTAGGCTGGATGCATTTTGTCCCTAAGTGAACACAATCCTCCCTATTTTTGTTTATTCAGAATTCCACGTGTTGGAAACTGAGAAAAAAAATATACAATGAAAGAATTACTAAAACAGACATTAAGCTAAAAGAGAGAGACTTTCTAGGTTTCACTTCAAAGGAAAAGGAAAAGATGCTCTCTGCTAAGCTGATGTATTTGCATGAGTCAAAAGGCCTCAGTCTAAAACCACTCTATTGAGTACAGTAACTACTGGCTACTAACGCTACAGGACACCACTCCAAATTCCTGTGTGCTGTGTATGGAATACACACTCTGGAACAAAAGTCTTTGTGTGAAAGGGAAGAATAGAAAACACCCCATATATTGAGACTAAAACTATTATTTGGGACAAAGTGAATTAAATTGAACTACTAAATGTGCTTTTGTGTATTTCCTTGGACTTAACCTAGTTAATAAGAGATTTAAGTTTAGATTAGGCAACAATAATACACAAATTGAATTGTAGTAAATTATTTTGTTTCTTAAAAGATTTATTTTCATTTATGTGCTATGCTTGTGAGTCTGTGTGTCTGTGTGTGTGTGTCTATGTGTGTGTGTCTGTGTATCTGTGTGTGTGTGTGTGTAAGTGTATGTGTGTGTGTGTGTGTGTGTGTGTGTGTGTGTGTGGTGTGTGAGAGTCTCTCTGTGTGAGAGTCTGTGTGTGTGTGTGTGTCTGTGTGTGTCTGTGTGTGTCTGTGTTTGTGTCGTGCCTGGAGAAGTCAGAAGAAAGCATTGGATTTCCTGAAGCCAGAGTTATCCACAGTTGTGAGCTTCCCAAATCAGATTCAGGGAAATAAACTCAAGTCCTCTGGAAGAGCAGCAAGACCTCTTAACCACAGAGCCAACTCTCCAGTCCCTTGAGTTGCTTTCCAAGTCCTTCCTAGTCTTAAGTCTGACACTGAGAAGTTTCACAACCCAGTTAGCAAGCCTTGGTAAGTTACTTCAGAGCAACGTTGCTCTCTTAGAACTTTTCCTTTCCACACGTACCTTCTTTTCCACACATACCTTCTCTCGATACCCTCTCATTCTGTTTACATTGGTTCCTTAGTGGGCAAGAATGATTACACTAATTGATTTTGTTTGTGCAAAGGCCATCTTGGGCAGACAAATTCTCAATTGCCTTCTCATCATATTCTTTTCATTTTGGGTTATATTCTTTTTTTGCTCCCTACTCTATTTGCAGTCCCCCTAATATCTACCCATCCTTGCTGATTTGTGGCGACAATGAACTCTGATATTTACTTTGATATATGTGAAACAGGGGTATAGTATTAAGGAGCTTCGTAAGTCTTATCTGATGATCCCCAAATGTTCTAGCATTCCATGTTACCTGAGGAACATCTGGAATGTGTTATTTTCCAGCCCTGCTATCCAGAGTCTGAATATGACAGTCTTTATGCAGCCTAAGGTCATGAACTTAAGAAGCTGCCCAGGTCATTGGGAGGTTCAAGTATGGTTTGGGAACCACCAGTCTTGACTATTTTCCTTTTGTACTTGATATAAAATGAATTGCCACTGTGGTCATGCTAGGGCCTGAGGCCTGCAGTTAGATGCAGTGCTGCCAGCTCCAGCCCAAACCACTGGAATGACACTCTTCAGACACGCATATATTACTCACTCATCCACAGCCTCGGCCACCAGTATATCTTCTTTGTCAGTTTTAACATCCAACTCTGGTTCTCCACTAAGCAGAAGCTTCAAGTTATAAATAACCAGCAAAGTTCCTGGAAGATTAAAAAAAAAAAAAAAAAAAAAAAAAAGGAAATATTGACTTGTCAGTACTTCAAGTGCACTAAATTCTAGGCATTTCTAATCACTTCATCTGTAGAACTCAGTCCACTCTAGAGCAAATTTCCCTGTTTTTGATTTGGGTAAAATGCAAGCTATGCCTTATGGAAAATTACATTCTCTGTCCGAGATGGCTGCATTTCCACAATATGCTACTCTTAATACTATTCAATCCACTATCAGTCTCTCAAACTTTGGCAGACCTTTCATAATTTGCATCATGACAGTTGCTAAGATCCTGAGCCAAGATTCTAACATAGGTGAAGCTCTCATTGGTGAAACTGAATCCAATGCATATAAGAAAAATTAGTTTAAAACATAGTACTAAATATTGCTTTGGATTCTAGAGCTGCCACTGACAAACTATTCTGTTTAAAAAAAAAAAAGCAATCAGTAAATATTTTAGGTTTTGCAGTTCATACTTCTGCTGTCATAGCTACTCACAACTAAACTTGGTCACTTTACCATGAAAACAGCTAGAGAGAAGCCATAAAGGAATGTATGCAGTTATGTTCCAATAAAATGTATTTGTAAGAACAGAGCATAGAAAAAAACAGGTAGGTTACCTGCAGGTCTTCTCTTCTCCCTCTGTTCCCCCAGATCCAACCCCACCCCAGTCTCACGCCCAGCTCTGCAGCAGAGCACCTGTGGCCTTCCCTGCCCGCTTTCCTCACTCCCATCTCCTGTGAAACCCACAGACCTTCCCCTTCTAACCTCCTCCACCCAGTCACTGCTCTGTCCCAGCATCCAACCTCAGCAGGCAGCCCCTGCTCACCCAAGAGCCAGTCCTGCCAGGCAACAAGTAGGTTGAGAAGAGATCCAAACCTCTACTTCTGCTCCTCTAAATGCAATCCCCCAGCTCTGTAGTAGAAAACCTGCTGCGTCTCCCGTTCCTCTCTGACCCCATCCCTAAGGGACCACAAAGACCTTCTCTCTAAACTTTCCCTCCTCCAAATTATCCCAGTATCCCAGCCTCCAACACTGGCAGGAAAACCTTGGGAATGTGCCACCTGAACAGAGAAATAGATCCATAGGAAATTTCCTTCCAGATAGTACCATACTCTCCTAAAGTCCAAGAAGGAAGCAGAAACCAAGGAACAAAATATACCCAACAGAGACAAAACCAGGTACCAACCACCAGATCTACTACCATCCCAATTCCAGAAGCCTAGATGACAGCATAAATCATACAATCAGTAACAGGATAGTAAGTCTCCCCGGAGTCCAGCCATCCTACCACAGTAGACACTGATTATTCTCACACAGCTGAAGTCCAAGAAAAAAAACCTAAAAGCAGCCTACATGAATATGACGGAGGCCTGTAAAGAGGAATGTAATAAATCCCTCAAGAAATCCTGGAAACCACATATGGTGTGAGGAAATGAATAAATCCCTTGAGGAAAACATAAACAGTGGAAAGAAATGAATAAAATTGTTCATGACCTGAAGATATAAGTACCATGAATCAATGAAGAAAATGCAAACTGAGAGAAGGCTGAAAATGAAAGATTTGGGAATTTGAACAAAACTACAGAGGCAAGCTTCACCAACAGATTACAAGAGGTGGAAGAAAGAATCTCAGGTGTTGGAAGATACGATAGAAAAAACGGTCCCACTGATCAAAGAAAATGTTAAATCTAAAAATTTCCTCAGACAAAATATCCAGAAAAAACCAAATCTAAAAATAAGAGGGAGAAAAAAAAATCTCCTAACTTATATGCTCATAAAGGCACAAGAAACATACAGAATACCTAGTAGATTGGGCCAGAAATGAAATTCTCCTTGCCACATAATGATCAAAACACTGAATGCATACAGCAAAGGAAGAATATTTAAAGCTGCAAAGTAAAAAGACCAAGTAACATATAAAGGCACCTATTAGAATTTCATCTGACTTCTCAACAACGATTCCAAAAGCCTGGACAGATGAGATGTGCTGCAGACCCTAAGAGATAACAGATTCCAGACCAGATTACTACACCCTATAAAACTCTCAACAAAATATTCCATGATAAAATCAAATTTAAGCAATATTTATCTATAAATTTAGCCCTATAGAAAGTGCTGGGGGGAAACTCTAACCTAAGTAGACTAACAACAACCATGAAAACACAGGGAATAAAAAATCCCATATCATCAAAATCAAAGGAAGAGAAGCACACACCACCACCAATAACAACAACAACAATAAAACAACAGGAATCGATAATCATTAATGGTCTCATTTCACCAATAAAAAGACACCCATTGCTTTTGCTGCATTCAATAAACATACTTCAACATCAAAAATAAACATTACCTCAGGGTAAATGGCTGGAAAAAAATATATTCCAAACAAATTTACCTAAGAAACAAAGTGATGTAGCTGTTTTAATATTTCACAAAATAAACTTCAAACCAAAATTAATCAGAAGAGATAGGGAAGGACACTACATATTCATCAAAGGGGGGGGGAATCCACCAGGTCATTTCAATTCTTAACATCTATGCCCCAAACACAAGGGAAACCACATTTGTAAAAGATGCACTTTTATAGCATAAATCACACATTGACCTTATTTATAGTGGGAGATTTCGATACCCCATGCTCAACAATAGGCAGGTCATCTGGACAAAAGCTAACTAGAGAAATAATAGAGATACAAACATTATAAACCAAACAGACTTAACAGATATTTATAGAACATTACCTTCAAACATGAAAATATATATATACCTTCTTCTCAATACCTCATGGAACTTTCTCCAAAATTGACCACATACTTGGACACAAATCAAGTCTCAACAAATAACAAGAAAACTAAAATGTCTCCTTGCATCCTATCTGACCATCATAGATTAAAGCTAGGTATCAACAACATCAGGAGAACAGGGCCCTCTAAAACAACTGAGCAAAGCACACAGGAACTCACAGGACTGAGGCGCCATGCACAGGGCTCACATGGGTCTGCATCAGGCCATCCACACATATACTATCGCTTTCAGGGTCACACTTTTATGGAACTCCTGAATGTTTAAGTGAGTGGATTGCTGATTCTTGAGCCTTCTCTTGGGGCCCTTTTATTTTTCTTTTGGTTTGTCTTGTCCAACTTTGATATGGATGATTTCTGTTTTTGTTTCAAAACAAATAAATAAACAAATAAACGCAGAACATCAGAGTTGGACTGTGGCTATGACTCGCTGACTCTTGCTCCAAGGCATGGTTAACTACAAATGTCCAAACTATTGACAAAATTAATTATGATATGAAGACAAATGTGATTTTTCAGAGAAATTAAAAAGGGAAACTAATTATACTTCTTTTGGTAGAGAGAACAGCATAGGGGCTAATAACAAGAACTCTGTAGTCAAAATGAGAACACTGACCTAAATATTGGATCGACAACTGAACAGTGTGGTAACCTCAGGTACCCCCCCTCTGTCTCTCTGTGTGTGTGTGTGTGTGTGTGTGTTTATATATCCGTCTAAGACCTGTACTCACACACAAAGGCATACAAATGGGAGGGGACTAGCCAGAAGAAGGAAGGGAGCCCATCAGAGTAAGAGGGGGACAAAAGATGGCAATGTGGGAATGAAGATGATCACAATACCATGTACAAACATATGAAACTAACAAAATTAACATTTTTGTTATCTTCCAAATGGAACTCATAAGCATAATAAAATAAGCAAAAATAAAAACCACTTTATTATTATTTGTATGAGTACTACACAATTAGAAGGTAATAGTCATTAAGATACATAAATTTTGCTCATTTTCCCTCATTTGTAGAACCTAGATTTAACATTATACATCTGTATGTGTGTACAAGTATTTATGGATATGGAGGGATCACAAGCTTAAAAAGAAAATCATGACAAGGGAGGAAGAATCTCAAGGGAGGGGAGAAAGCAGAGAGTGTAGAGGAGTCTAATAGGAAATCAGAAGTGGGAGCTAACTCGGAAAAGGCAAGGGACCAGCTGGAGTAGAGATGAGAAGAAAGTGTAAGGACACATCTTAAGATACCATGAAACTCTTACTTCAGAGTCTACCCTAAAAATTAAGATTATGATATTTATATTAACATATAAGTACTAATCTATGCCACTATTTTTTCTCAATGACAGAGGAAAAGAATCAATATTTTCAAAATACAAACCCACAGGTTATTATAGAAGGTATCTCAGGGATAAAGCAGGCCAAGCTCAAAATGAAATTACCAAAATATTGCTGCAAATATAATAATCAAAAGGTTGCTAAGAGCAGGACATGCTTAGCTTCCTCTAGAGCAAAGTAGTCTGTGTTTCAAGAGACATAAATGGGGGATGTCTAGAGAAGGCAATTCCCATAGCTAGTGTGGTATAGACACTAAGATGGCAATGGAAGCTGCAGGAAAAGAGGGAAGATCTGTCCATGTGGAGATCTGTCCATCTGGGAGAAGGATGTTGATGGAGCACTGCTTACTCCCCAGACACGGGGGCATTACTGCATCCCTTGGTAACTCTCTTAACAAAGTAGCAGCATCACACAGACTGAGAACCTGCAATTGAGGACTAACTCTGCTATGAAGTCCAGGGCCGAGGATCCCTGCAGGCAAATCTTTGGCACCTGCTGCTCATTCAGAAGCTCAAGCCTGAATCTTTCTCCTTGTGCCAAGGATTTACAGTAACTCACATGAATGGTGAACCCCATGCGAAACTGCACTTGAGATCACTGATGCAAAACATTATAAAAAAAAATGCCTCCATAAAATGTTTACTTTTGATGACCTTACCGCATCTCCCATAGATCATATCAAATTGTTGCATCAATTCCGCTTCAGTTTTAAAAGGTGAGTATTTATAAATGATGGACAATTCTGTGAAGAACTTCTGGGGGTCATCTGTGATACTCTTTCTTGATCTTGTTGTCCATGAAGGTATTGGAACTACAACCTGTTTTGTTTTGTTTTAAAAAAAATCAATTTATTGTGAAACACACACAAAAAAAAAATTCTTTGTTTTATCCCAAATTATTCTATTCTTCCAAATTACAAACACAGTTAAAAGTTTTTGTTCTGAAGCTTAAATGTATAAGGAAGACACAGACAGTGAATATGTAGACTCGGGCTCCTTTAAAGTTTCCTTTGTCAGGGCTGATGCAATGGTTCAGTGTGTAAAAGCATTTGCCACCAAGTGTTGAGTTCAATCCCTGGAATGATACACATGGTGGAAGGAAGATCCAATTACTACAAGTTGTCCTTGACATCCACACACATGCCAAAAGGTTTTGACAAAAGGTCAAAACAAAGACAGACAGACTCACACGCACACATGAAAATAAGCAGAGTTCCCCAATAAAACAGCCAGTAAGATTACAGCACTCACCAAGTATTCAAGATTAATAAGCATAAAAATCCCTTGATATGACAGGGAAAATAAAGTTGGGTGGGCAAGGAGGTAGGGGGAGGATCTGGGAGGAGCTTAGATGAGGGGAATAAATATAATCAAACTCTCAAAGAGTAAATAAAAGCTTCTTTTAAAGCTTCTGATGTAATCAATAGAAACCAGGTTTAAAAAATTCTGTGGAAACAGAAGCCATCTGAGGAAGATAAAAAACGTCAAGGAGAAAAAACATTGTTAAACTCTTCAGAGTTAGGTGAGCTTGGTGGTAAATACCTATAAACCCTCTACTCGGGAAGAAGCAGGAAGGTTCAAAGCTTATCTTGGCAGCTTAATGAGATCCTATGTCAAAATATTTTTTTAAATTAAGCTGAAGATGAATCCAGAAAGATAAACATGGCATGTACTCATTCATAAATGAATTTTAGCTGTAGAGGGTAACCAGGCTACAATCCACAGACCTAGAGAGGCTAGGTAACAAGGAAGTCCCAATGTGGGAAGACATGACTTCCCTGGGAAGGGGAAATAGAAGAAATCTCCTGGGTGAACTAGGAGTGTGTGGGAATGAAAACATGAGGGATTAGGTTGAGGGCGGATGGAAGAGGAGAGTACTGAAAGAGATGACTGCAAACGGGGGCATTTCAGGGTCAGGTAGAACCCTGATGCAAGGGAAACTCCCACAAATCTACAAGGATAACACCAGCCAAGACTCCTAGCAACAGTGGCTACATGTCCTGTGACCAGATCAGTGACTATCCTAACTGTCATCAGAAAACCTTCATCCAGTAACTGATGGAAACAGAGGCAGAGACTCCCAGCCAAACATTAGGCTGAGCTGAGGAATCCTGCTGAAGAGAGAAAGGAAGGATTGCAGGGGCCAGAGGGGTCAAGGACATCACAAGAAAACCAACCAACAGAAACAACTAATGTGGCTCACATGGGATCACAGGGACTGTCCCAACTGAGGTTCCCTGCATATATGTGACAGCTGTGTAGCTTGACCTACTTGTGGGACTCCTAACAGAGTATGGGATGCCCCTAATGTTTTGGCTGGCTCTTGGAAACCTACTCCTCACCCCGGATTGCCTTGCCCAGCCTAAATATTAGGGGAGGTGCTTACACTTACTGCAACTTACTGCTTTGTTGATACCCATGGGAGACCTGCTCCTTTTTTAACAGAAAGAAGGAGTATATTGGGGAGGAGGATCATAGAAGGAGAGGAGCAAGGGAAAATGTGGTCAGAATGTCAAATAAATTAATTAATTTTTTAAATTAAGCTGAGGGTGTATCTCAGTGATAAGAGCATTTGCCTAAAATGTCTGAGGCCCTGGATTCATTCTCCAATGTGTATAAAAACAAAAGATCTTGAAAATAATTCAAATGACCTAAGTAAAAATTTTTACAGTTATAAGAGAAAGTATTGTGCCCTGGAAAGAAAAACTGGATCATTTTTTAGAAGGAAACAATGAACAAATAAGAAGCACTTCTTGGAAATTAAGAATATAATTATAGAGAAAAATGACATAAAAGAATTAGAAGATAAGAATACTGAGAACCTCCCAGAAAACAAAGCAAAAATATGAAGACAGAAAACGTAGGAGCAAAGTAGAAAAAAGATTTTAATTCACAAGTCTATATTGAAAACAGGAGCTGTAGGAGGAGACAAAAGGGAATCTGAATTGGAAAAAAAAAATCTCCAGTTTGAAGGGAACAGCTCAGAACTGAATGAAGCATGTGAGGTTCCAGAATGGACACATGCTACTGTGCCCAGCTCAATGGCTGCAAATAAACCATCCACAGAAAACACCGAAATCTGAAGTAGAGATAAAGAAGGTTCTCTCCGTGGGAAGAAGAAAAAGAAAAAAGAATAATCCCATTTAAGACCACAAAGGTAAGTGGCTTCAGATTTTTCAGTCACTATACTAGAAACCTGGCAACAGAGCAGTGCCTTCCTAACCTTGAAGGCTGGGGTCTAGCTCAGAAATGACACCAAGCCAAACTATTACCAAGCATGAAAGTAGTGTGGGAAGATGTTAGCGAATAGAGAGTCTCCATTGCTCTCTGGTTCAGTACCCAAGTATAGAGTGTTACACCAAGAGACAGCATCACACACACACACAGAGAGAGAGAGAGAGAGAGAGAGAGAGAGAGAGAGAGAGAAAGAGAGAGAGAGAGGCAGAGATAGAGACAGAGAGAGACAGAGACAGAGAGACAGGGAGAGAGAGAGATTTAGGATCTAAGAGCTGACACAGGAGAGGGTCAGAGGACTGACACATGGGATGAAGGCATGGCAGATCCCAGCACTGTAACTGAATGCCAACTGCGGCAGGCACAGGTACAAGACACAGCAAGGGGAGGCCTCCAGAGCAGGGTTTACTGGGGAACATGGAGCTATGGCTCCAGTCTGAAGCTAGGGTTAGCCAAGTGATACAAACATGGAAAACTGAGCACATTATTAGTGACAGCAGTAAGCAAATGCAACCCTGAGTAATTGTTCATTCTAAATAAGACAAAAAGTGCATCAGAGAAAAGCATTTGTGGTGTGACATCAAAGAAAAAGGTGACATGATGTGACCTTGGAATGTAAAGCCTGAACACAGGCAGAGCCTGATTTTTGACAGAGCACTTTGGAACTGTGTCTGTGTGCAAAAATACAGAAAAGAAATTATTTAAATCCTCTTGTACAGTAGGAGGGTCATAGAGAATGCCTAAATACCCACGTGGTGGCGAAACAATGAGGCACCTTAGAGTATCTGTAGGTAAATATCAAAACAACACATGCACCTGCAAGAGAGAGCCTTTGTGAATGTGCAAATGCTAAAGGAATGGGTGTGGGTGGGTGTGTGTAAAGTCCTCTTTGCCTAAAGGCTGTTGCTGTGGTCCACACCCAACCCAAGCTGCACATTTACAATGCCACACACTGTTCAGACCCCACACCCATCTCCAGACCAGACTACTCAGATGCACCATAAAATCTTCACTGGCCACTCGAGACTCTACTCTCTCCCTCCATCCACACCGCTGCTTTTTGACATTTTGCTACTAGCAGCCATACATACTCACTGAGCAGGATTCTTCTACAACGCTCCAGTTTTGTTTAACCAATTTATGTGTCTGACGTTTCTTATGATGAGGCTGAAACTGTCTAAATAGTGACAGGGTCTTCAGCTGTTGCACTATTTTTTTTCCTTCCCTAGGTTACATAGCTATTTGTTAATATGCATATGGTGCATTGACTTACAATTGACATTCAAAACAGAACTCAAATAAAGTGTCTGAGGTTCAGCTAAGGGAGTTGAAGAATGCGGTCACTAGAATTAGCAACTTGAGTCTATCTTGCATTTAGTTCCTTTACAGAATGTGGTCTAAGCCTTTGACTAAAACAGTCTATTTATTTAAAAAGTGATAAACTGTGTGTGACAGAAACGGCAGCAAGGTCTCAGGAGGTTTCTCCAAGAAACATTACTGTGCCAAAAAACAGCTTCTTATTCTGAGAAATTTGGGTACAAGGAGAACAAAATTAAGTTCTCCAAAAAGCCCTCCAGTGACCCCGGAGTGCACAGACACCTTCTGTCCATTCCTCAAACATATGCCCAGATTTCTAAGTCATAATCTGCGAGGGAGTTATAGCAGCATTCGCCTTATGAGAAGGTAAATGAAAACTGCACTGTTGCCATGGAAATGAAAAGAAAGCCCCATCTCTTACCTCAGTGAGACCTTCTTTTTCACAGAAAGTCTGAGAAAAGAACAGACAGGTCATGGTCTCTTCCTTCTTTGTGAAAAGAATAAAGTCCTTGCCAATCCTCATGGATCCGCTATATTAAAAGACAAAAACACAGTGATTTACATACACACACCAGTAAAGAAGAAACAAGGGCCATGATTTTGTTTATGGTAACAGGTTGTTCTTTTCCATAACCCATCTGCTTGACTCATCCCCAGGAGTGCACAAGTATTGTGTTACTTCTCAAAGTAATGCAGATGAATTTGAGCAGATAAAGCCTGACCCTTTTGCTAGAGCTAGAACTGCCCGAGAAGTTCCAGCTAAGGCTTAAAAGAACAACTCCTGGGCCCTGGAAGGAACTACACATGTCTTACTTACATGGAGACAAACTAAAGAGAGCTACTACACCAAGACTCAAACATCCAATAGAACATATGTAAAGATGCATTGACACTTAACTGCTTTGGGGTGCCCGTGAGAGACCCGACTTACTATACATGAGAAGCAGCTTTTTAATGTTGTAAAGATCTGATCAGCTATGGATATAAAGATTCCAAAGCATGTTTAGATGCTTGGTAAAAATAAAACTTCAGCTGGCTGTGTGTACTTGTAAGATTGCTTCAATATTGTCTACAGTATCAGTAAATGATTTACATCTTAAGGGGGTACAATTCTCACCTCTTAAGCCCGTTGCCATACTGCCCAATGAACTTCAAGGTTGATGACCGTTTCTTGGATGTCCCAAAGTAAATGATGTCTGGAGCTTCGTCTGTAACCCATAAAGAGTTCTTAAGATGGTTAGGAATAATCTGATGTTAGCATTGGGTCCAGCTGTCAGAGGTTCACCTATGCCACAGGACATTAGGACAGGTCCATAGCTTTTGGAACTCAAGGCAGGAACCTGGAGAAAGGAGCTGTAGCAGAGGCCTTGAGGGAATGCTTGCTACTGACTAGCACATCCTGCTTTCTTCTATCATCCAGGACCACCTGCCTATGGATGGCACCACTCCCAATGGTCTGGAAACTCAGTCTTTAATCAAGTAAACACCCTACAGAAATATCTACAAGCAAGGTTATGGAGGCATTCTCGCAATTAATGTCTAGGTTCGTGTCAAGCTAACAAAAACCAACCACAACACTAACGGTGTACACCTGGTCTCTGTTCTCTCTCATATGTAGAACCCAGATTTAAACACATGCAAATACACATGTGTATTACAGTACAGCAGAAGGAAAAGGACCAACTGGAGAGAGGAAGGAGGATAACTGAAGATGATGGGGAGGCAAAGTACAAATACACAATGATGTCCACGCATGGAAATATCACTAAGGTACACACTATCTTATATGTTTACTAAGTAAGTCAGTAAAAAATAAATTAATAAAACAACCATTTTAAAAGAATTATTCTTTCAATACTGTGTTTTTTTCTCTTATGTACAGATGTTCCCTGATTCCCACTAGAGAGTTACACATATACCAAAAAACCCAGGATAAGTCAAAAATATAGAAAGAACAATGTGTGTTTAGTATGCCTGTTTGCTGATAAACATAGCTTAGCCACAAAGAATACACTAGTGCATGCTTCATTGACACTGTGATCAGTGGTATACCAGGAGCTAGGGCCTGCTGGCAATGCCCAGGGCCCTAGGAGATAACCTGGAACACACTGCCAACCCCAGCAAAGATCACAACTCAAAACTCCTTCTGAATATACACTGCTGAACCACAATGTAAAAGTCGAGAATCCCTCAGAGACGGACAGCATCTGTGTCAACTGTGAGGTTTCCTTTTGAAGACTTGATTCTTTATGGTTTATCCATCCTATAAATGACCCATTGGGAAAGAGGGACTTTTCTCTTCTTTGAGCTCAGACCATACAACATGCATTCTGCTGCTTACAAATGCAGGAAAATGAACTTGCAACTCTTGTTAGACATGCATAGAGACCTTCACTGTGGTTTCCTACAGCCTCTTTACCACTTCATACTGAAAAATCACTACTTTAATTAAAAGAGACCAGGAAAAACAAGAGCAGGGAGCTGAGTGGAACAGTGGGGCATTTTCTAAGCTTGCCCATTGGCTAATGGGAGCAAGAGATGACATCAAAACTAAAGGGAAGTTAACTGCTTTACTTACGTTTGCAGTCTCCTGACCATAGCCACCCTTTCCTCACGTGTGTGACTGACCAGTCTGCCTTAACGACTTCACTATTTTCTAAGCAGAGTGATCAGAACCCTAGCTTAAGACACCTAAAGCATTATAAAAAGTCCAGTTTAGAGCCAAAGCAACACACAGCCAGGATCAGAGGGAGCATCAGTTCAATTGCCTGGAGTCTGTGCACTCACAATGTATTGACTGGGGCTACCCTTAAATATACACAGATAAATCCTAAGATACATTATGGGTGTATTTGCTCTGATGGGAACTTTCAGTCAAAGCAACTAACCCTTTGAACAAGAGGAGGAAAAATACCCACAAACTGTTAAAAAAAAAATCAAGGAGAAACAACCTCTCTCTCAAGGTTATGCAGAAAAATTAATAATAGCCTAAAGGCATTAGAAATTGCCTCAGGGCTCCTGCAACTAATAGGTAAAAGAGAAGCAACATAAAGATGCCAGAGTCTATTCAGTTACTGTTTGTGGTCTGTTCATTCCCAGGTGCTTTTGTCTTACAATCAGTATGCTCTGTCTTTCATGTGCTTTGACTATATAGGATAGTCATTTTCTGTCTTGGTTTAGATGGTTAAAAAGAATTTATTTTGCCTGCTGGAATATTTAAACCTAAAAAAATCCAAAACAAGTTGTCCGAGATATATTTATTTGCCTTAATTGCTCCATATCTCTGTTTGGAATAGATAGTTCAATTTATTTTTGTTTATTTTGTGGGTTTGCAGACCGCTGCCTTCTGCAGTCAGTTAGGTATCTAGATAATTAACTTACCAGGGCTCATGCCACATCCATCATCCAGGAAACACAACATGAATCCTCCCTGCAGTGTTTCATTAGCCACTGTAAGAGAAAGCAGTTATTCCTAATAAATATTGGGCTTAATTTGTTCATCAGAAAATCATGCTGCTCCCATAATTATTTGTCCTCCTCCATAGCAGACATGAAGCCCCAGGTATGGAATAGAGATGGGCTCGGAATGGAGTCTTGGCTATGGCTTCCTAAGAAACTGCAGGAGAAAACAATCACATAGCAAAAAGGATTTAAATTAACACACAACATCTGCAGGTGAGTAAATTATGCATACAGCAGGACAGGACCTGCCTAGGACCTCGACTGGCCCTTTAAAATTCAGGTAAATTTTCCCCTGGGAGAGAGAAGAATGATAACCACGAGAGGTGACCCCAGGATCTCTCTATAAATCTGGTCATCCCTTATTCCCTTCCACCAATGCAACAATTCTAAAACAAATCTGGACCATTCTTACTAAATTCATCAGGCTCCCTTCTAAGTAGTTAATTCCCCCTGAGAGCCTTTGTAGTGTTTCTTTGTAGCCATACATATTTGCTTCTTGATGATGCTTTTGATTTCTGGAAAAGGTTGAGTCATCTGAAGTCAATTTTGATGAAGGGGAGATGCCTTCAAATTACATAATCTAAGCTATGGCTGAAAATATTAAAGTTGTAACTAAAATAATGAAACTAATTTTAGCACGCAGGCTGGAAACCAACCAGCTCTGAAACTAATTTCAACAGCTGGGTATGAGTATAACACATTTCCTTTTTAAATAATAATGCTACTGATGAGCATCATATGCACAACAAGTAGCATAAAGTATATAATTTGATTAATTTTGAGGTATTTGAGAAGACATACAATCCAGCACCCCAAATATTTCCTCCTGATCTTCTGTCATTCCTCCCCCTTCTATACCTGATCATCCTGACTTAGTCCTCAATCATTGGTATGTGTTCTGTTACCATGAATTATGTTTTCTGGCCTGTGTGTTCAAAGTTCAATTAGAACTCACATTTAAAATTGAGGTGATGCTAAAGGTAGCCAATAAAAAAAAAAAAAAACTATCTAAAAGATGCATCTAGTTGTATTAACCCACTTCGGTTACTATAACAAAATACTTGAGGCTGAATAATTTGTGAGGGGGAAAATATTTATCTGATGATTCTATAGGTCTAAAAGCATGGTGCCACTTTCTGCTCAGCTCTGTAAGGGCTTCATGGTATACCAAATACCAGTGGGAAGACTGTATGCAAGATCATGTGACAGAGTGACCAAACAGCAAGGCAGACAGCCAGGAGCACAGAGTCAAACTAATGACAACCTACTTACAACAACATCAATCTCTCCTGAGGATGAGATCTCAAAGCTCTAATCACCCCCCACTAGGCTCGCCCTTTGGAGTCCCATTATCTCTCAATGTCATCCACTGAGGATTAGGTGACTAAGACAGGAACACTCAAAGGACAAAACACATTCAAACCATAAAACCAATTTGGGGAGATTTGCAGTAATTTGATCTCCTACCAATGCTAAAAGCTGTTCCTAGTTATTGTTTATCCAGGACTAAGAAGTGCATGGCCCAGGACACAGCTTAGCCTCAGCAGCTCTCAGTAGCAACTGAAGATTTTAAAATATAACTTATGGAAGAACCCAGAAGACAAAATACAAACAGCTTAGAAAGACCAAGATTCTCAAGATAGACACACTACAGACATATATTCATATGTACACCAGGAACTCTGGGGTGAATAGGTATGACCTCAAATGTAGGCATCCCTACTATCCACACAGAGACAGCCTTAGCTCACTCCCTTAAAGCAGTCAGTCTGGGCCTAGAGAGATGTCTCAGTGGTTAAGAGCATATGCTGCTCTTGCAGAGGACCTGTGTCTGGTTCCCAGTATCTACCATCAGGAAGCCCATAATTGTCTGTTAACTCCAGCTCTAGAGGACTCCAACACTCACTTCTGGATTCACAGGTACCTTCATATTACACACAAACCCACACATGAAGAGACATGCATACAAACATTAATTAAGAAATAATAAAAAAACAAACCTTTCTGAGTGAGGTAGCCCAGACCCAGAAAGACAAATATAATATGTACTCACTCATAAGTGGATATTAGACATACAGCAAAGGTAACCAGCAAAAAGTCCACAACCCCAGAGAACCTAGGTAACAAAGAGGACCCCAAGAGAGACATACGTGGATCTGCCTAGGAAGGGGGAAAAGATAAAATCTCCTGAGTAAATTGTGAGCATGGGGAGGACGGAGGAAGAGTGAAAGGTGAGAGGGGAGGAAGGATGGGGAGGGGGGAATGTATAGCTCTATAAAAACAAGGTGAAAGGAAACAAGTCTTTCTTTAAAATCTATGGGGCTCAGATCCCTATCACCCGTTCATCATGTATTTCCCAAAGTAAACACCTTATTCCTTCCTCTACTGTTTCCTGTTTGTACTGGGCTTTGGCCAAGTCAAAAATTCAGGACCATCCAGTCCTCCACCCTTCCCCCACCTGGACCTGCATCCTCAGAGCCCTGGTCCTCTCCTCACTGGGATTAGATGACTCTATTCTGATGTACTGATTTCGCTCAGACAATCACCATCTCTTTTCTGGGCGACAGCAAAAGGATCCCTAACTTCTTCCTCCCTTAATTACAACATGCAGCTCAATTTTAACCAGCTGCCATCACTCCTTTTAAAATCCTGCCCTGACCTCCCATGAACGAATCATGCTTCTCTGTCACACCCAAGCTCTCCAACTCCAACCTTCTTCACACCTCACTAGACCACAATGCCACACAAACATGTTCCCTGAACTAATCTTGAATATCTCCTGAGTCAATGTATACCACACCCCTCCCCATGCCTGGTCCACCAGCTGCTGCCTACTCCCCTTTCAACAGAGGTTTTTTTCCTAGGAGTTTTCTTCATACCTCCATGTCATTAGGTCCCTGAATGTTCCCTTTCTATGGTTATTTCCCACTGTGATCATCTAACTCTGGTGTTGGACCTGTGAGTGCACTTATTCTCCCAAAAGACTACACACTCCATCCTAATATCATGTCTCAGCGACAGAGACTCATATTTTCATTTATTTCTCAAACCTTTCATAATTTGAACAGGGAGACTGAAGAGAGTATCATTTACTATGTCTTGGGGCTTCAATGTCCACATATCACATGAACCCTAAGCACTCATCTTAATATGTTCAGAAAAAGAAATAATATGAAATCACCCTATGGACAATATCCTCTCCCGTGTGATCAAAACTAACAGGATGCCTGGGTTGGCGTAGGAAGGTAGCATTAACTGCATCACAGAAATTAATGTCATTAGCATCGTAATCTACCAAGACTAACTAATAAATGCACAAAACACTAAGGGACAACAAATGAAGTCAATAAAGAAAGTAGGTTGGTTTTTTTTTTTTTTTGTAGCAGTTAGATAATTATCTGTACCACATACATACTTATGCATTTTAAACTGTGGTAAGAAAGAAATGATGTATGCTTAATTATGAACAACTATTATGCTAATGTAATTTTTAAAATAAAACTGCTTTTCACGGCAAACAAATTCATGGCCCCAAATCACTCAGATGTTTTCACAAAACTCTAGAAGACATCATTTTGTAAACGGGCTTTCAGGTAAGTGAGCAATTTGACCCTCAGAGTATACATTTCTCAATCTGGCTCCCCACAGGGACAGTGTTCACAAAGCACTTAGATTACATTAACAATCTATAGAATGTTCTATGAGTTGATGAAATAAAGTAAAAGCAAAGCAGGCTTTTCCTTTGAAGAAAAAAACAAGAAAGGAAATGTGTGCTCACCTGAAAACACATCAAGTCTCATAGCCCCGGCATCTCTGGAAACAATACAAAAATACCATTACTTCACAGAAAAAAAAAATGTGCCTTAAAAATAACATTAATCACAATAGCTTAGGTGAGGTGTAACCTATTATCAGATATCAAACAATACAAAAGTCATAAATCACTTAAGATCAATTTCTAAGATGGTTCACTGTACATTTATATAGAAAGAAATGTCATCACCCATAATTTGGGAATATTACAAAAGCTAAGGCTTAGTAACTTAAAAGACTAGAGAAGGAATTTAGTGGCAGTTACTTTTTAAAAGGTTCAAAATGATTATAAATATAGTGTTTATATTTTAAAGACTTCCTGGAGAATAATACAAAGCCATAGGAAGATTTTCATGATATATCCCAATTCAAAAACTGAAAAGAAAAGGGAAATTACTATGTTATTTGTACCATGTGACCATATTTTTTTTATAAATGTACAAATAAAATATGTTTCTTTGTGATGTTGGTGGTGGAGCCCCAGGCCTCACAGGTGCTGGAAAGAAATACTTTACCCAGCCCTGAAAACGTTAATAAAGGTTGGAAGTAGGCAAATTATGGGCCATAGACCAAGTCTGGCTCACCAACTGTCTAATAAATAAAGCTTTATTAGAACACACTCATACTTGTTCACATAAGTACTAGCTATGGTTTTCTTAGCCCTACATCAGCAGAACAGAATCCCTTTGGCGGAGGCTGAACAGCTTTCAGAGACAGATAAATTTATTTTCTGATCTTTCAGAAAACAATACTTTTCTGAAACAACCAGAAAAGTATTCTGATTGTTGCTCTATGAGACCCGATTACCAGTGATGTTCTGCTCTTTCTCCCCTTGTTTTCAATGTTTTGTTAATACATGGGTCTTTCTTGTTTTTCAAGATTTATAAAAGTAAAAAATGATAAAGCAAAGGAGGAAGGGCCCCCAAGACCCTGGCTTGCACATCAGGTGTGAGAGAAAAGACAGTGACAAGGAGGAATGAGGTCTGGCCTGCTGTGGGAGAATTCGAGCTAGGGGGAGGGAGAGTCTGTGAGGAAGGACAGGCCAGTCAGCTGATGCAGATGATCTTGTCTACATCCAAGTCAGAGAGGAGGAAACTGAGTACTGAAGCTCGTACAACCAGTGGCAGGGAAACTCAGTTCTCTCTAGAAATATCCATCAGGCTCAAACCATAAACCACACCAGTAAAACAGAGGTGGCATACTGCATTCAGTCAGCTAGCCTGGAAGTGAGCCACTTTTGCTTTATCCTGGAGCCAAAGTTACCTTAAAGTTCTCATTACATAGAAATTCTGCAAGAATCCCTGCTATTTCTTAAGTAATTCCTGCCAGTAGAACAAGCACTGAGTGGGATATTGAGTTTTGAAAATTCTCTGACAATCCTTAACTACAATCTGGTATACTGTTGTGTCTTTTACTAAGAACCATGGACATATCAGGTGTTCAGGAAATGTCAGTATATTGAAGTCAAACGTGTGCTAAGTCTGTTGTGTTTGTTGCCTTTTTGTCTGTTAGATATGTACTAAAGGGCCAGACACATGAGAACAAACACTCTACCACTGAGCCACACTGCCAGCAGAAACTCGGGACCTGAAAGATGTGGTTTGTTTATACAGGATGCCTGCTAGATGGTTTATATAGCTTTGCTGCCTCAGCATAGGAAAGATTCTCTTTAAATCATCATTGCAGAAGGACACCTCCAGACATCCCTTCCTATGTTACTACTCTTCCTTCCTCTTATACAATATTCTTTCATGGTACGTCAATTCTAATCTTTACACCTACAGGAAATCACCAGAGTCTTAAATATAATAAAAAATAATTTATTAGAGTAACAGGGAAGCATACAAAAACCATTAGGAGGCTAACTGGGCATCGTAAATAAAACATTAAATGTACATTTTCTTTTGATGAAAAATATCAGCTTCTAAGCAAGGGTAGAAAACATCAGTGTCCACCAAAGCCACAAAAAGACCAGTGTGGAGTGTCTGGGGCAGCAGGGAATAGAGCAAGGGCGAAGCTCAGCCCAGCCCTAAGAAGATGCCTGTCACCTACTGTTGCCTGCCAGTCCCTGATCCACAGAGGAACAGAGTCTAAAGAGTGCCACCTCTCCCATTACTTCAAGGAGAGTAGGAGACCTGGATTTTCCTGACAGAGGACAGAGAGAGAGAGAGAGAGAGAGATTGGGAATGTTTACATGTATGCATATAGGTATACAAGTGCATGTTCATGTGTGTACAGGCATGTAAAGTTTGGAGGCAATCTCACATGTCATCTTCAGGAACAACATTCATCTCTTTCGAGAAAGAAACTCAACACCAGTTAGCCTAGACTGGCTGGCCAGTGAGCACGAGAATTCCTCTGTTTCCACCTCCTCAGCATTGGTATTTCAACCGCACCATAGAGCCTGGCATTTTTATGTGGACTCTGGAATCCTCATGCTCACAGACAAGTCCTGCACCCCCAGCCTGCCACTCAAACCTTATCTTCCTTTTCTTCCTAAACTCTTGTGCAAAGTTTCACTCGAGGTAAACAAGACGTTGGCTGGAGGGGGCCAAGGCGCTGGAGGTTCACAAATACAACTCTGAGAACTATTTCTCCATCACCTCCCTCATTTCAGAACCCAGCCAGTCTTCTCCCCCACCCCCAATCACAGCAAGGGTCCTCTGCTGTGTCACATGTTCTCACTCTTCCCTTCCTGCTACATTCTGCTTTTAGTTACCCTCCCAGTGAGAGGAACAGGTGAACACAGGAGAAGAGAACCCTGGGGAAGCAGACAAATGAAGCCCCTGAATCGAGAGATGAGGGGTATTCTTGTAGGAGCATCAGCCACCACAAACTACACAGACACCAACCATGGTGATCCTTGGTCCTGGCCCCATCTCTTAGCTCCTGGCTTGAACAGTTTATTATTTTCCTATTTTGCTATCTACCTTACAGAGAGAGTATTTAAAAAACAAAAAGAGAAAAAAAGAAGTGCTAGCAATTTTCCCCCCTCGGTGCTAGGAGGGATTCTTAGCTAATTACTACACCCCGTGTGTGCTCTCAAAAAGACCATCTTATTTTTAAGGTTCGAAATGAGAGGCAAACTCAAGAAGCTGATATGTTATCAACTAGTGACAGGGAATTTAGCTCCCCCATTAAGAGCCTCCATCTGACAACTGCAGGCTGTTTCTTGGGTGAACTTCGCTGCACGGAAAGTAAAAACAATTTTTCTTTAACAAAGAAATAGTGATATAAACAAGCCAGTATTCAACAGAGCTGAGAAAAAGGAGGTTTGAGCTAGGTGTGGTGGTGTCCCCACAATTCCAACACTGATACAAGAAAATCATGAGTTTGAAGCCAATCTGGACTCTACAGGAAGCTTGGGGCAGGCTGCACTGCATAATGAGACCATGTCTCAAGGGAAAACAAAACAAAAGCTGAATCTTTCCCAGGTCTCCCCAAACACATTACTGGACAGATCTTAACTTGTTAAAGAGGTTACTTAAGCCTCAATACAGTTGTCAAACTTAGTAAAATGTGGTACTGGGTTCTACAGCTACATGCTCTACACTAGAATTCTAACAGCAATTGAATAATTTTTAGCAATTGTGCCAAATAGCAGTAGTATAAATAAACTGCCTAGTCTCTCTGCGCATCATACCTCTGTATGTATGTGCCTCTGTATGTAGAACTGGTATAATGATCCCCAGCTCAAAGGGACACTTAAGAGATGCATGAGTTATGTAATGGCAAATCTTGGTTGTCAACTTGACACACCTGGCAAGAGGGAATCTCAGTTGAGGAGCTGCTTCTATCACATGGGCCTGTAGCCATGTCTTTGGCAGATATTTCTTGATTAATTAGCATAGCAGAGCCCATCCCTAGGCAGATGGGCCTCCACACAAAAACAGCAGGCAGAACAAGCCAGTAGGCAGCATCTCTCCATGGTCTCTGATTCACTTGCTGCCTCCGGATTCCTGCCTCAGCTTCCCGAAGTGATAGACTTGGAAGTGGAAGCCAAGTAAACACCCTTTCCTCTCAAGTTGCTTTTTGGTCAGTGTTTTGTCACAGCAACAGAAAGCCAACTAGCATACAAGTTGAGATACATACATAAAGCGTATATAAACACATGACATACATGAAGAGAGAAAACAAAATTAAGACATGGCATAAACAGATATGTAACTCAAAAACAGCCACATGACTATCTGCTTTATACAACTTTTAATAGAAAAGCAGACATCCACATTCCCAGAGCTTCAAATACGACACCACAAATTAAAGGTGAGCAATTCTCATTTGCTCTTTTCTTATAGAACTTGGATTGTATAGGAAAGCAAATTACAGTACATTACAAATGGGAGATAATAGCTCTCAGGTCTCAAACCCAAGACAAATGGCTCACTGAAATGCCTATTAACACAGCAAAGTGGACTCTGGCTGCCAGCCTCCCTTAGTCCCTACCTGTTGTTACAGGGTCCTCCTGACTAGCATGCTCCAGACCCTATCCTCATCTGGGATGTTCTTCCTGTAGCTGCGCTTCCCCATATACTTTGTCTGCTGGCCTTCTGGCTCCTGGCTCTCCCCCCTCACCACTCTCCTATCTCCTCACACTCTGGGTGCAATCTGCCAGTTACATTCACTCTGGAATTTCCCAGAAGTCTCTGCCTCTGCCTGTGCTCTCCCTTATATCTATAGTTACAAAAATAATACTTCAACCCCTTAGGAGCAGTCACGTACTCCTTTATTTCTTGTTTTCATTCAACAGCACTCCGGTTTTATTTCAAACATAAATAGATTATATTTGGTTCTTGAAATTTCCTCCATGATCTTTGTTCACAGACATGTCTTACCTTGCGTTGTCCAACAACTCAGCCAGAGCTCCAAAGAGGAAACTGTGAGTTGTGCTGATGAGAAAATAACAGGAGAATTAAAAAGGTTAATTGGGTATGTAATCAGTAGGGTTTAAGATACAGGAAAAAGTTCTCCAACTCTAGACAGCTCACCAATTAAGAAGGGATAGGGGATTGAATTTTGGACAGGGAAGGGAGGGAGAACAATACAGGAGAGGCAGATAGGAGGGATAAATAACACTAAGGATGCTTTAAAAAGGCATAGTGGGCCTTTAATCCCAGCACTCAGGAGGCAGAGGCAGGCAGATCTCTGTGAGTTCAAGCCAGCCTGGTCTATACAGCTAGTTCTAGGACAGGCTCCAAAGAAATACAGAGAAACCCTGTCTCGAAAAACCAAAAATAAATAAATAAATAAATAAAATAAAAAACCAAAGGGGATAATTACATTTACTTAAAAATACATATAATAGCCCCCGGAAGTGGAGTTCAGGACTTCCACTCGTGTGTGAGGCAGAACTCGGGATCTGACAAGATGGCCAGGCTGCCTTGCAGGATCATCAAGGAAACCCAGCATTTTCTGGCAGACCCAGTTCCTGGCATTAAAGCAGAACCACATGAGAGCAACGCCCACTATTTTCATGTGGTCATTGCTGGCCCCCAGGATTCCCCCTTTGAGGGAGGGACTTTTAAACTTGAACTATTTCTTCCAGAAGAATACCCAATGGCAGCACCTAAAGTACGTTTCATGGCCAAAATTTATTATCATAATGTAGACAAGTTGAGAAGAATATGTTTAGGTATTTTGAAAGCAAGAGCATGGACTAGGCTATATGCCATGAATAATATTTAAGTTGATAGATCATCAAGTGTACATCACTTCTCCTGTTCTGCCAAGACTCTTCCTTTTTTTGTTTGCATTTAATGGACACAGTCTTAGAAACATTACAGAACAAAAGCCCAGGCATCTTCATCTTCAGTGATTACAAGCACATTAGCAAATCTATGTCTTGTTCTGATTCACTGCTGTTAAGCATGAACAGAGGCTAGAAGTATCATCCGGGTTGTTGTGAAATGTTTAAAAGCAGTGACTCTGCTTGGATTGTTTCCCCATCAGTACAAAGCACTGTGAATGAAGGTAGTTGTCAGGGTTAGCTGCCAGGGGTATGGGTGTTTTTATTTTATTTTTTAGGGGGAAAATAGTTTTATTTTAATTTTATGATCTCCTTTCCCCCTCCCTCTCTTATGGGATCTAACTGCAGTGGTTAAATGCAGCTAACCACTTTTTTTAGAATATGCTTTCTAGCCAAGTCTAACTTTAGACACTATAGATGGACAAGCTTGATTGTCTGAACCAAAATGGGAGGAACATTAAATAAACATCACAGCCCTCACTGATAACATTGTGACTTTGCTGTCAAGTGTAGATTATCTGCCCTACCCCCAAAAGAAGAAGAAACAAAGCTTGTGACCATTTTGTATGGCTTGTCTGGAAACTTCTGTGAATTTTATGTTTTAGTAAAATATTCTTTGTTATTCTACTTTGCCTTTGTACAGTTTATTTTACTGTGTTTATTTCACTTTCCCAATGTGACATTCGTATTTAAAATTAAAGCAGACGGAACAGTCAAAAAAATACATATAATACATATGAGTGTGCATTACATGTATGATTAATTATATTTTAATTAAATTTGGTCAAAAAAAAAACTTGTAAAACAACCTGTTAAGCACAGTCAAGACTGAAGGAGAAAGTGCATGTTCCATGACTAAGGGAAGAATATATTTTTTTGTTTTTAAAAACGTATTTGTTATATTTTCATGTGTATGAATGTTTTGTTTACATGTAAGTGTATGCACCATGAGAATGTCTGCTGCCTGTGAAGACCAGAAGAATGTGTGGGATCCCCTAGAATGGAGTTACAAATGGCTGTGAGCCAGCTGGGAATTCAACCCTGATCCTCTGGAAGATCAGTGTTTTTAACTACAGAGCCATCTCTTCAGCTTCTTAGTTTGTTTTCTTGATAACATTTTGTTAGCATACAAACAGGCTTCATTGCAACATTTCATACACTCATATCTTTATATTTTGTTCTATAAACATGTTTTACCAAAATATCCTAAAAAGGGAGGCTCCAAGGAATGTATTATTGCTACAGAATACTTTGACCTTTTAAATTTGCATCATAAATATTTATTCAATGGTTTCTTTTTTATTAAAATTTTCATTAAAGCATGAACAAATTGTTTGGGGAGGATATTTATTAAAACCTGTGGATACAGAAGTTAGCAGGTGCCATCTTCACTCCACTGTCTATAATTTTGTGTGAAATTTTGTCAGCATTGGGGAAGTGATCTTAAAATAAGCTTCCCATATACCTATGATCTCTGTCCTGAGCCCCCATGCCAAGTTCTCTCCACAACATGATGGATTTCCACCATGTTCTCTACTTCTAACACTTGCAGGGCTGAAGGGTGATCTGTGGGTGAAATCAGGCTCCCTTCAGGGTCAGGTGCTCACTTTCCATTTCCTGATGTGGACATTTCAGACATCAACCTTCCCACACCATCAGGAGAAATCCAGCTTGCAAGTTTCTCTTTATGTGTAAACCTTGGCTCCCAGCACCCACACTAGGTACTGTAACTGCCAGTAATTTTAGTTTTAAGGGGTCTACCACCCTCTTCTGACCTCCATGGATACACACACACACAAACACACAAAAGGCACACACATGTGCGCAGACACACAAACACACGCAAATATATATATATATGTATATACATACATATATATATATATATATATATATATAGAGAGAGAGAGAGAGAGAGAGAGAGAGAGAGAGAGAGAGTTTTTCTGTGTAGTCCTGGATGTCCGAGAACTCACTCTGCAGACCAGGCTGGCCTTGAATTCAAGAGATCTGCCTGCCTCCGTCTCCTGAGTATTGGGATTAAAGGTATGCACAATCACCACCTGGCTATTTGTACTATCAGGAAATGACAGTAATTTTAGGCAAACATTATAAGACTAAGGTATGTCCCTGACTCTTCAAAGCGTAAAACTTCTGGCCCAAACTGTCATGTGATTTTCTGTGCTGGCTCATTCAAGAGAATTTTATAAGCATTTGCCATGTTCACCCATGGGATCTTCACTTCTTGGAATCCAAGTCACAATCTAGAAGGAGACCACGGGGTACATAGATATACACAAGTAAGCACGTGAAGATGAGGACAGCCTTCCAGACCTTGACAGCAGTGACAGGACAGAGTGACTGCAAAGGAGGGATGGGGGTAACCGAAGACACTCCTGATAGGTGTTACCTCACTGACCCCTGAAGATGAGAACTCTATCTTTTGAAGCTCCAGGATGGAAACTCTCCAAACAGGCAAAGATCCCAAAACAGTGATGGAGACCACACAAAACCTTTGATGGATACAGAAACCAGGCTAAAGAGAGGGGATGTCTGGCTCATATAGGGATTCCAGCCCCAGTGCAGAAGGGTTTCTACACAGATGGAAAACACTGAAGTATTTTCTAGTGAGTGGCATTTTTGTCTAGTTCACTTTTCAAAAGCTCATCCTGGCACCTTTAAGAAACTAGGACCTAGGAGGAGCTGGGATCTGAAGCATAGCACCCAGTTATGAAGCTATGGGGGGGGGGTTCAGACATGAGGCAACATGGTTTGGGCCAAAGTCAACAGCAGCAAGGACAAAAGGAAGAGAAAGCATCTGCTTGATTATAGGGTATCGTTCCTTCTTGGGTGTGTAGACTGGATACTGGGTATAGTCATCCCAAAACTTGAGAGGCTGAGTCAAGACAATCTCAAGTTTAACACCACTCTGGGTTACACAGCAAAACCCTACTTCAAAAACAAAAACAAAACAAACAAACAACAACAAAAAAAAAGCCTACTTCAAAAAGCTATAAACAAAAGGTTTTACTCCTATATTAGTGAGTAAAGGTCTACCAATGGGTTGAGAGGCTCGGTCTTTTTTAGAGTTTGTACACCCTACTGTTATCCTCTTTGTTGTTATACCACCAGCTGAAAACCGAGCTGCAGATGCTGGTATCACAGGGCAGGGTGTGGGAAAGTGGAACTTTACAACAAAACAACAAAAGAAACTGCACGTGATGTCGGTGGAGTGCTTCTCCACCATAAAATCCACAGTCCTCCCAGCATTGGCTCACACTTTTTCTTGAACTCACTCAAAACTATTTCACTTGTCTTTAAGCTACTGGATCCATCCTTCCAACTTAAAACCATTCTGCTCGGCAGGTAAACACCTGCTTGGCATTGCCTCTGCTACCTTAGAATCAAGCAGATTGCCCTATACAACATGGCTACTCTTCCCAAGCTTTCTTTATACCTCCGTTCCTGTGGTTCAAACATGTTCCACCCATCATATCAGCTGGCACTTTCAGTAAATACAAATTACTAAGTAACTTCTAAACACCAGCACACCATACGAATTGCATATCACTCACCGATATACTATGCCCAAATGGAAGAGACAAATTTACACAAAAAGAATGCAGTCACTTGCCTCTGCAATCTGACCACTTTCCGTGGGTTTGTATTACCCTTAGAATCACTCCAAAAAAATATTAATTGTAAAGTCCCAGAAATAAGATGACCATAATTAAAGTGGTATACCAATCTAAGACACATAGTGACCTTGTTCTACTCCACTTAAGCATGGAGTATGGTTGTAACTGGTCTATATTATTGTTTTTGTTCATCTCTGTCTCCGTCATCAACTTTATAACCGGCATGCATGCATAGGAAGAACTAAGGATACAGCCACACATGAAGATTTCTAATCTTCATCTGTAATTCCATATCGCCCCAAATTTTTTAAGCATGCACTTGGGGCGCCTTTGCAATAGTCATGGTTAAGAATGGACTGTACTATTTCTTTTCTACTTTTGATTTTGTGTGTGAACGTATTCTGGTGCACGTACGTCTGAGTACCACAGTGCAGGCTTGGTGCTCAAAAAGGTAGAAGACGGTGTTAGCGGTGTTAGGAGTCACAGAGGGTAGCGAGAATCCTAGTGTTAGAAGTCACAGAGGGTAGCGAGCCACCCTGTAGATGCCTCAAATTTAACCCTGGTCCTTCGGAAGAACAGCCAGTGCTCTTGGTTTTAACCAAGGAGCATCAAAATGATTCAGACACCAGGTACATTCTCAAATCCATCTTACCAAGTTCATTAGGCTTTTGTTCTACAGCTAAATAAGGTGGTAGCACGTGGGAAAACTCCCCCACTCCGACCCCTCCTAGAAACTCCCCCACTCCGACCCCTCCTGGTAACTCACGAGTTTGCGTGGATGAAATCCAGATGCAGTTTAGCCCTCTGCAGCAAGGCATATTTGTCCATGTTCTCAAACACGACCTGAAGATACCAGAAGACACCGACCCCTGGTCCGAAACTGTACACCCACGCCCACGTCCATGCCCACGCCCACGCGCTGCCACGCTCGCAGAGCACGAGCTCGGCCCACGCATGCGCCCTCTGGAGTTCCTCAGTGAGAGGCTCTCTTTGCGCTGTGGCTCCTGTCTGGGAGGTTCTTGTTCCGGTTTGGTTTGATCTGGTCTGGTTATGTTTCAGACAGTCCCACTTCATAGCCCTGAGTATGCTGGAACTCACTATGTAGACCAGGCTGGCCTCAGACTCTCTGAGATCCACTTGTGTCTGTCTTCCGAGTGAGGGAATGAAAGACCTAAACTACCATTCTGGGCCCTTCTGGGAGGTTCTTGATCTTTTCAGCAATGAGGTTTTCATAACCTATTTCTTTTTTCCACTTCCTGGCAGTTTCCATCACTATCCATCTGAAAAATGGGAGATTGGAACTGGATCAGAACTGGGAGCTCTTAGCCCTGCCCCCTCTCCCTTCCTCTCTACCCCTCCCCCAAGTCTGATTGAATACATGGTATGAGACCTTGGGAGGTAAAGTCCTGTATTCTTGCTTGAGTGATCCACTTGCACTCTTGAGTATCGTGGGTGTAATTATGCTGTCTGCATTTGAAGGGAGAAAAGGGCAAGCAAAGGGAAAAACGACTGGCGGCAATGTGCAGGCGGTCCTGCCTGCCGTGTTACCAGCTGTTGCCACCTGGAAGAATCACAACCATTTTCTGTTAGTCACACCTACAAGCAACTATTCGATGTGCAGGCCAGTGTCCAAATTCTGTGAGTATACTCAACAGAGCACTGAATTCCGAGTCACCAAAACCTATGAGGAAGCGGCATCGGTCAAGGACTCTGGAGGGACAGGATTGAGAGGCTAGGAAGTGACTTGATCTCTGACCTCTGTGATAGTATTCAGACTGATTCAAAGGCCAAGGCTGTTTGGCATGGAGACTAATATGGTTCCATTCTACTCAGCAAGTATTTTACATACTGTTCTCAAAGTCAGGAAGACAAGTCTACTGAGTGGAGAGTCTGAAGTAGATGTTTTGTGATTTTAAAGTGTCATGTGGGCAATAAAGCCCTCAGAAAATACAAACAAGAATGTTAAATGTGGAGCAGTCATTCTGCTTAGAAGAAAGGGATTCTTTTTGAGCTGCTACATTCATAGGAATGGGGGGGGGGATTTGAATTGCAACCCAGAGGAACACGATGCTCCACTTTAATTTGACGACTGGAAGTGAACGTAAACATTTCGAGTAATTTCTCCTGATTGCATTCTTTTGTTTATTTGTTTGTTTTAACAGTGGCTGGCATGGTTTGTGCTGTTTCAATAGCCACGTTCTCTTTACTAAGCAACCTAAATTATCTTCCCAAACTTTTCTTCAGTAGAACTTCACAGATGATATTTTACTTTTGTTTTTATGGGGAAGAGAAGCTTGCCAAGCCTCTTCCGGATTTGTTTTAGAATTCTGATTTTTCAACTGCTATCCCAGAGCAACTTTCTTGGCAGGGGGTGGGGGGGAGTGGGACAGAGCTACCAGCCTGTAATTACTAAAGGCTGTAATATCTACAATTATCACAGAGAGAGTCCTTCTGATAATCCTCTGTGCTCAGTGCCCACCCCAAACACTAGGCAATAACAGTTGGTGTGGTGATGGTTGGGGTAGGGTGGGCACATGGATCTGTTAGGTTATGCTAAATAAGAAATCTAGAGTCACAGCCCCAAAAGCCTTCCTCCTCCCTCATTTCAGCTCTGTCCACCACCATTGCATGTTATAAGCTAAGCATTCTATTCTTCCAGATTTACACGAGGTATTCCTTATTTTGCTTATTTCCCTCAACCCTGCTTCAAGATTATCCTGTGGCCCTCTTGTGTTTGATCCTGATTTTAAGGAAAATTGCTTCAGCTCTCCATAATTAAACATGTTGGGTTCATAAAGACACATGCTACACAAAAGGCTTTCTCTTTTAAATAAGTACAGATGACCCAGCACTTCATTGCCTTTGAGGAACATGCTTAAACTCAGAATTAAGTTGAAAAACTTGAAAGTTTGAATTGGCATCTGGTTGACAACCTAGAAGTTTGAATTGGCATCCAGACCGAACTGCCACCTCATAAGAACTACACATAGTGGTATCAGCCTTTTCTACACATAGTGGTATCAGCCTATTCTAATAAACTTAGGAGGCGACTGCTGTAAAACTGACAACATTTGAAAGGGCCAATGACCCTCAGCTGAGACAAGTTCAGTGACTCTGAAAGCAGTGTATAGCATTCTCGCCATGCTTCTTACATTCATTCAAGTCCGAGTCTCCTGTGCCCTCATCTCTCCCGGTTTACCTCGTGTCGATCAACAATGATGTCATCACATCAGTTCTGAGGGACCTGTGTTACCAGCAATCACAACCAAGGCATAGTGACAAGCCCCTCTGGGCAGTGTGGGAAAATAAGAGGCCCGGAGCTTTTCCCAAGAATGGCTGTTAGGGTTGAAACCACACTGCTTGCTGTGAGTCAGACAGCCCAATAGCCATTCTCAACTCTCTCTCCATCCCAAAGCTGAAAGCTTGCTTCCTTGGGCTACCTTGCCACTAGAGATGCTCACCTGGGCCAGGCATGAATAACACAGAAGCAGAAAGACCACTAAATGATTTCTGAGATCTCCTTTGCCCTCCTAATAAAAACTGGCTCCAACTCCCCTCTTTGAAGAATCCAAGCATGGCTCCTGGGTCTTTGGATATCTACATCCATGACTAAAGTCAGGAGACAGACATTAAACTGCCCTAAACATTGGATACGAGCCAGCAGTCACTCACCTCAAGGGTTCTGTTATGAAACTAAACCTGCTGTCCATTCTTACTCGGTTAATTGGATTTTTAATTTATGTGTGTGTGTGTGTGTGTGTGTGTGTGTGTGTGTGTGTGTGTGTGTGTGAAGGTGCCTATGGAGACGAGAAGAGGGCATCAGATCCTCTGAAGCTAGAGTTACAGTGGTTGTGAGCCACCCGGTACACACTCTTAACCATTTCTCCGGCCCCAGTAATTGAATTTTCCTGAACATATATCCAAGACTACTCCTAAGAGACTTTCAGAAGGTACGGGAATCACACTTTCTTATATCACTAGACAATAGCAGCAGAGTATCTACTACCAAGAGGGTTACTTCAGACTTTCCTTTCTACCTGTGCTCAATGTGTGTGATGGGTCAGTGGGTATTATAGAAGTGATGGTCCATCAACACCAAAGGATAGCAGAGACAAGATGTGAGAAGCCAGAACTTAGCAACTCTAGTCATCAGAGTGAAGTACAAACAGATCAGGCTGCCTGGGAAGAACAGAGCATGAGGAGTCCAGAGTATGCATGGGGTAATGGGCCTGTGTAGTGTGGTACTTAATTTGGAGATGCTGCAGGCTCATTATGCAAATCAGGCACTTATTTCAGGAGAGTCTTTTCATTATAACAATATAAAAATCAAGTCACTTTGTTTGTACTTTCAAAGGGGTACAAAGAGGCAAGCTGTATCATTGTAGGCATTGGAAACCATTCCATTTACTCACAGTATGAAAAATATAGTGCAGGGAAATGGCAGTTCATAAAATGCTAAGAAGGATAGAGGAGTCTAAGCAAAGCCCCCCCACACACACACTGGACAAGCGAATTCCATCTCCTGACTACAAAGCTTCTGAGTGGAAAGCATTGTAACAGTTGTCTCCAGGAACCCATGAGCATGAGCTTCAGCTTGCAGGACACAGAAGTTGGCTCTGCTTTCCAAAGATAGTCAACATGTTCCTTCCCTACCTCCCCTGCAAACACACACACACACACACACACACACACACACACACACACACACACACACACCACATTCACATCTTGAGCTTAGCTACAAAGGCATCTGTGATGGTCTGGATAGAAATATCCCCCACAGACTCACAGGTATTTAAGTACTTGATTCCCAAATGGTGAAATTATTTGGAAAGATTTTGGAACTATTAAGAAGTACAGCATTGCTGGAGAAAGTATGTCACTGGGGGGGGGGCAGGTCCTGAGGATTTATAGTCTCCCCCCACTTCCAGTAGCTGTGGTCCCTCTGGTCCTACTCGGCTTTGGGCAGTGCTGTTTTATCACAGAGGGAGATGAGTCACTGACACTGAATCTAAGCATTCCTTCTCATTTTCCTATCCCTCCAACAAGATTGGAAGGAACTAGCCCAGATAAGGATAGCTCTTAAGAATTAGTTAGGGACCAAACGTGTAGTGAGTGGGTCCTCTGGGGAGGAAGTGAAGTGTCTAACATGAAACAAATTAGGAAAGATGAAGGAAGCTTTGAAAATTTTAAATTGGAACAGCACCTTGAAAAATAAGTTTATACTTCAAAAATAACAATAAGCTTTTACTTAAAAAAAAAAAAAAAAAGTCAGGTGGTGGCACATACCTGACTCACTCTCAACACTCAGGAGGCAGAGACAGAGACACACAGAGACAGGTGGATCTCTGTGAGTTCTAGGCCAACCTCATCCACAGAGTGAGTTCCAGAACAGCCGAGGCTACACAGAGAAGCCCTTTCTCTAAAAACTGGGGGCGGATGGATACACTTATGAGTTAAACAAAATAGGGATAAGCATTTTAGGCAGAGGAGTCATTGGGGGCAGACAAAAGGGAAAGTGAAATTTCTGGCCATTCAGTAAGAAGTTTATATCCAGAGTGTGATTGGTGCAGTGAGGCAGGCAGAGAGTGGTGTGACAGTCAAGAGGTCTTGGGAAGGGAGCAGCTATCAGGTCCTGGCACGTTGGGATGCCCAGCTGACAGCTAAGATTTTACATTGAACAAGCCAGAGTAAATAAATGAGGGAAGCACATGTGCATGGGGTGACTTAGTTTTTCTCAGGTATGACAGAAGCAGAAAAGAAAACAGGAACTAATGTCATTCATATTTTAGGGTTTCTCTCCCATAGAAATCTTGTTGTTTGCAGCAGTGGGCA